ATGGAAATGTTGAGGTGACTATCAAGGATTCGAATGGTGTCATCCTTACTTTTGTAATACCAAGGAAGAGAGGGTTATTTGGCAGAAGTTTGCTGCTTGCATGATTTCTTGTAGACCTAGACTTTACAGGTGATAAAGTGGTTGTCTTATTTTAATCTTGCAGCAGTCCTACAATTGGACTGGATTGCTCTTTTGGTTGACTAATATCTTCTGTTTAAACTGATCTCTCTTCTCACCGAAGAGATTAGAAATAAAGGTGTAGGTGCTAGTCACAAATCCAGAGAGAAAGTAGATGCATCATCTAATGTCCTGGCAAAAGAGTATTTTGCTGCTCAGTATTTCTGTGTGGATGGAAATCCTGTTTTTACTTACTTTGGAATACTACATAATTAAATGTCAGTGGGGAGCTTTAAATTTTAATTTTGTTCCTACTTATACATTCATACTGAACTCCTTAGTGTATTGCCAAGTTCAGCATAAATCAGTTTCCCATTTGTGTCATGCCTCCTTCATGGAAGGGTGTTATTGGAGGCTTCATTTATCTAGTTTTGTTTAAAATGCAGACAGTGAATGAAAACACTTTTTGCTTTAAAAAATAAGCCCATCTTTTGTCTGACCCTGCTCTCTTTTCTCCCTGTGTAAGGAGTGGCAAAACTGTAAAAGAATTGCAGACTGTAATGGATGACTTTGCTTGGAACTGGAGTCTTTTCCAGGTCATGTTGTTTGAACAGCTAAAACCAGTATTAATCCCAATTAGCTGATCATTGTGCCTTTAGTCACATCCTGTGCACCTTGGTGAGAGGAAATTATGGTGTGGTTGAAGTCTTCAATCTCATCAAAATATCTTTATGGTAACTACAAACAACTATTTCTTGGTTATGGTGGATGCTTCTCATTACATGCTTTATTAGACAGCATGGTGGGCTGCAGGTGTGAATTCTGTCTGCTAAGAATGACACGTTACCATCTGCAACCATGACTTTGGGGCTATGTTTCTAATTAAAATAGTGGTTGTATTTTCTTTACTGAGTTAGTAGTGGTAATCTTTTGGTGAGTGCTTCATAGTGCTGCTTCAAGCATCGATTTACAATTCTACACAGACACAGTGATGTTTACTGTTCGATTGGGTCGTGTTATTTTCTTTTATGTGCCCCAGAGTTTTTCAGGATAGACAATTGGGCTGAGGTGTCAGCTTATGCTAGAATGTAGGGAACTAAGAAGGGGTTGGAATAATTATGAAATATCTGGTATATTCTGGAAACACTGAGGAATTTGGGTACAAATTAATTCAGAGGATTTTGCAGAAATGGACCACTGGAAATAATTTATTTGCAACAAGGTTGATGATGTACACTGCTTATGAGGGAAATTTGCTTATCCTCACCATAGAGTAAGTTGAGTAAGTAAAATGGATGAATTATGGCTTTTATGGCACTTGACTCTGAGCCTTAATTTGTGACATATAGGATAAAAATATTTGGAGGGATCAGGGGAAATATGAGATACATCTGCATGCGTACAAGCCATGCATTTCATTAAATAAACTGAGGATTTGAGAATCATATGGTAGTGACTTTAATAGTCATCTTCTGCAAAATTCTTATCCATGCCAGTTCATATACTTGGATCTTGTACTGTCTTAAAACAACGAACCTGATCTTTGTGTTTTAAGAGCAGCATTTTGCAGAGATGTGCTTCATAAACAGAGCCACCAAAGCAGCTTGGTACTGTTCAGCTGAACCTTTGAATGATGTGCAGTAGGCCAGGAATGGTTTAATTCTTAAGTGCTAGGTTGTGTTTCTACACAATGCTACTCTTTTTATAGTAAAGTTAAAACTAGTTGTTTTCTTGTGTGTTTAAACCAATATTACTTTTATTCTTACTGAGTTTTGGGATTGTGAAATGACTAAATAAGCCAGTATCAAGTCAGAATGAATTTCAGTCACTATGACGAAGCTGAAATGTATTTGATAAGTGCTTATTATTTGAACTTTGAGGTTGTTCTGAGTAAAATATGTGACTTTCCACCTCAGCAGTAGTGTTTATGACAGCATTGCACTTGGTTTTTCTTACATTCTTCTTGTGTAACTGTCTCACAGCTGTGTATTTTCTGTTTTTGACTTCATTGGTAATTCGAAGTAATGTGTTCTTTGCAGTCCTATTCTGTATGTGTTTGCACTGTATTTTGAAATCTGAGAGTGTAGCACTAAAAAAATAAACTGATTCAGAGGCAGGGTTTTGCAACTGTAATACAGTAGGTTGTTAATAACAAGTTTTTGCTTAAGTACCACAGAAGTTTGACTTGTGGTATTCTACTATATAATAAAGACTGAGTGTTGGAGATGTAAAGTTCAGGGCTGTCTTAATAGTAGGAATTGTTAAGAACTGAAAAAAGGCAGAGATACAAAAGAATTAATAGGTGATCAAGAAGTCTGTTTTTCTGAATTTTATCATTGTTTGTCCTGATGATAGGCAGTGAAACCTGGATGTTTCAAAATATTGGTATGAAAATACTGCATTGTTTCACTATTATCCTTTGTGGCAATAGGTCCCGGGGTGTTTGAAGTTCAGGGGGTGGGGTGTGCGTATGTGTCTTTCCTAGTTCTTCTTTGTCAGATGGTTGTCAGGTGATCAAGGAGTTTTCTGCCTTCTGCTGAAGCATGCTGAATAATGCTCTACTGTTTCTTCTCCATGAGGAAGTGTAGGAGAACTGCTGGTGGGAAGTCCATTTGTTGGAGAGGGGGATGGAGTTGTGTGACTTGGCGAGTAAGCAGCACCATCAAGAATCAATAAAAAGAGGGAGTGGAATCAGGTGGAGTTTGTGTGTGATCCAGTACAAGGTCAGGGGCACAGATACTGCAGGAGTAGTACTAGTGATCACCTACCATTGTGAAGTTGCAGTATTAAATGTGCTGTTGTCTTACCGGCTTGTATTTGTATTGTGTTACAGTATATTACAAGTCTTTTTTTTTTTTTTTTTTTTTACCTTTTTATAGGAATTCATTTATTGTGAAATTTGGGATATAGTAGACGGCTTGTTGGTGGCTTCTTTTCAGGGTGTTATTTTTTCTACCTTCAGCTCTGCTGAAGCTCTTTTATAGAGCCAAATAGACTGTTTAAGCACTTAAGTATGTGCCACTTCTAATACTGTGGGACATAAGACTGTAAACTAACTAAACAGTTCCTAACACAGTGTTATATGAAACTGGTTTTAGGACGTGGAAGTGCACCAACATTCCTTCACTGCAGCATTTAAACAGAGGTTGCTGTTTTTGCAAGTTGACCTGGAACAGTCTTTTTCCATCAGAGTGGCTGTCTGACTGCTCTACATGTTTGGTCATGTGGGTATCTGAGTGATTTGATATTTCAGAAACTGAGAAAGCAACAACTCAGTTGCTGAAAACTGCCATTCTCAGCACAAATGCTGCATACCTTTGATGAAAAATGAACACTGCATTCTTTGTGCAGTGCTTCAAATGTGTTAAAAAAATTCGGTGGAAGAAACCTCCTCATTAAAGAGTAGGGTTTTTTATATCAAAGTGCCATAAGCATCTGTGATGTTCTCTGTCAAAAGGAGAATTAAGCTGGCTAATGCTTCTGAATGTAAGACGGTATTAGAAGAGGCTAAGGCTGTTAAAACACCTTCTAAACATCCGGTGAGTGTCACTGCATTAAAATTAAGTCAGGCTATCTTAAAATAAATCTGCACTTCTAGCATTGACCACAAGCCAGGAATGACCTATCTTTAGTACTGGGCGCAGTGCAAGTGGAAACTGTCATATGAGACTGACTTGTGATGTAAATCTGTCTGCAGAGTGACATCTAAAGCTTTGTGTTGTGCAGAGTGCTTGGCCATGCTGTATTTCTTTGCGTTTCTTTGCAGTGAAACATTGAATTTCATTAATTTCCATCACTAAACTATGGCGTTGCTTCTGTTTGAAGGGGTGACCATGGTGGTCAGCCAAGATGATGTGTGGGACAGTGACACCACTTTTGGTGGGAGTGTCAGCCACTGTCTTGTAGACAACTTGGGTTATAGAATAGAATATAGTTTTTGTATATTCTCTTGTAATTTAGGTAATGAGGTAAAAAAGGATCCTTTTTGAATAGGAGCATTGACTCTTGGAAAAAACAGGAAAATCTTAGTAGATGGTAACTAGTAAACTTGTTACTATTTATATTTTGAATACCTTCTTGATTTAGCAAATCATTATGGCATGTATCTGGTGACTGTTCTGAGAACAAACTGTAACAACTGTCTTGCATTATTTCAAAATTACCTCTCTGGTGCTATATTTAGCCTCTGCTTCATACAAATTACCTTTGTCTGTGACTTTTATATGCACAATTTTTTTGAAAAAACGGTGATGACAAAGATCTTACCCAGCTTTGGTTTATGAAGGCACAACTTGATGTTGTTAGTCTGTGTTTAATCACAAAACTTGTTGAGAAAACTTGTGTGGATAATGACCTGCTCTGTAATTGCTGATACCAGCGGATGTTTGTTCTCATTAGGCTTCATGCAGGACTCCCTGCCTTTGCAGGTGGGTTGAAGATGTTTGTACACGTGAGGGCCAAGGTGTTGGTAGTGTTTGACTTTGTCTGAGTTTGGGCTTTTCGAGGTAAGATGTTGACAAGATTTTTAGATTTAATTTTTCAAAATATTTAAAAACTTTTTAAATTCTAGTAGTGATGATCATTGTTCTGTGCTTTGCAGAACCATTTTCCTAGAAAGTCTGAAGTTTTACTTGAGATACTGTCCTCAAGGATGAAAAAAAGCCGTGTAACTAATTACTAATATGGGGTTTCATAAAGTGAAATGCTATTTTAAGATAAACAGCATTTAAGTAAAGATAAATTTTACCTCAGGTACTTCAGAGAAGGAAGGGACAAGAGCTCCTAAAGAGAAGAGGTTGCAGAGTTGGAAGTAGTAGAGCATGCTTTGAATAAAATGGTTTTTCATAGACAAACTCATAATTCATGGGTTTTTTGCTTTATAGGCTAAAGAAATTTTGACAAAAGAATCCAACGTACAAGAAGTGCGATGTCCAGTCACAGTCTGTGGAGATGTCCACGGACAATTTCACGACCTCATGGAACTTTTCAGAATTGGAGGCAAATCACCAGACACGAACTATTTGTTTATGGGGGATTATGTTGACAGAGGATATTATTCAGTTGAAACAGTCACATTGCTTGTAGCTCTTAAGGTAACTTTTCTCAGCTTTAGTTTTGTATAAAATATATCATTGCTATTCCTGACTACACAGTATCTATTATGATTTTCACTGCATTGGTATCAGAGGTACTGAAACTGACTTCTTGGCTTAGTTTTCTAAGTCACTTCTTAAAAAAATACTATAAAAATGTTTAGGTGCAAGCCTGAGCCTTATCTAAAATGTGTTCATTTTTTACTTGTCTAATTTGCAATCTTTAAGAATTTGCTTGGAGAGGTCAGCTTAATGCAGGTGTAGTGAAGTCCACTAGTAATAATAAATCCAACTTGTAATTAATCTCAAAAGTATTTGGCAGTTGAAGATTTGAAAAAATCATTCATTTTTTTTACCTCAAAAGTTACAATTGAATCTTCAGAATGGTTTGTTTTTAATTGCTTTATTGATGTGTGTTGGGGATTGAGGAGTGCAAGTTCTGTTCTGGGTAAGAGTTTCTCATTGATGTGCTAAAATAAACTATTCTGTTTAGGTCCGTTACCGTGAACGTATCACAATTCTTCGAGGGAACCATGAAAGCAGACAAATCACACAAGTTTATGGTTTCTATGATGAATGTTTAAGGAAATACGGAAATGCAAATGTTTGGAAATACTTCACAGACCTTTTTGATTACCTGCCTCTCACTGCCTTGGTGGATGGCCAGGTATGTTGACATTTGACCAAGCTGAATGTTTTTGATTGTAAAGGGAGGTCTTAATGCTGTATTCTGTCAGCTCTCATCTTTAAAGGAATCTTATGCAGATTTTCTCATACTCATTTATTCTAAACTGTTCCAACTGCACTGATCAATGCAAAGAAACTTCATATTTCTTAACTTTTGCAGATTTTTTGTCTACATGGTGGCCTCTCTCCATCTATAGATACACTGGATCACATCAGAGCACTTGATCGCTTGCAGGAAGTTCCCCATGAGGTACTGAAAAATAATTTTCTAAGTCAATGAGGTTGATTCAGCATGTATTGGGTGTAAAGTTCACAGGCTGAAAATTAAATTCAAATCAACTTAGCAATATTAAAATACCTATTGTCCTGTTCTAGATTTTTTTAAAGGAAGAATGGGGGGCATGTCCTTGCTTAAGGAAAGAAGCATATTAAGTCTCCGAGTTATGCAGGGGTGGTGCTAGTGCAAGGTTAGTTTCTTTGGGTTTTGTTTGGTTTTGGTTCTTTGCAGTTCACCTCTGAAACATCATCTATATGTCTTGCAGGGTCCAATGTGTGATTTGCTATGGTCAGATCCAGATGATCGTGGTGGCTGGGGAATTTCTCCTCGAGGTGCAGGTTACACATTTGGACAGGATATTTCAGAAACCTTCAACCATGCTAATGGCCTTACATTGGTTTCAAGAGCTCATCAGTTGGTAATGGAGGTGAGCAGGATAGCCTGTGTGTTCAAACTTTGGATTGTGTCCTTGGTCCATTTGTTCCATGCTCTGTGAGTCAGAGATGTATATGCTGCTGTGACAGGTGATGATCTGGCTGACAGTCTTCCAGAAGTTGACAGTATTAATGTGCTATTAAGGAGTTTGACAGTGGAAGAACCTTTATTTTGGCCTTGTTTTCCTGAAAATTTACAGTACTATCCCAAACCCAGTGTTAGTACCAGATGTGGTATTGCATTTCTTTGTAGATAAAAAGGTTTTTAAATGTGTCTCTTGGAAAAAAGGTGTAATTTTTCTTTTTAGCTTGGATGTGGGCTTTTGTTCTTGGTCTCTAGTTATTCCTAGTAGTTTAGATTTTTAAATGTATGTCTGGAGTCTGGTTTTGGTGATGACAATTGAAGGTTCAGAGTAGATTGTGTACTTTAGAATTGCTGTTTTAACTATTTAATGCTAATGCAATGGAGAAATCTTGTTAGGTGGTTTGTTTTGGTTTTTTGGTTTTTTTTTAATATATAGCTCATATTAGCTAGTAAGAAGCAACCTTTGAAGGCCAAAATTAATTTTTATGCTTTTTCTCTCCAGAAGAGAAAAAAGATACAGCCTTAAGCTTATTTAAAGTAACCCTACAAAATGCTACTTAGGGCTGTGTGTATTAAAATGTTGGTTTGTAGTCAGGCGGTTACATGGGGTACATTAACTTGGTTGTCATAATTATTTTTTCCTTCCTCTCCAGGGGTACAACTGGTGCCATGATCGGAATGTAGTAACAATTTTCAGTGCTCCAAATTATTGTTACCGTTGTGGCAACCAGGCTGCAATTATGGAACTTGATGATACTCTAAAATACTCCTTGTAAGTATGTTTAAAAATGAGAAGTACGTTGTTCATGATTTTAAGATGCCACTTAATTGTGCTAAAGTACGGGTTTTTTCCCTTTCTGTAAGCTTTTGGGAGGTGGAGTGAGTGTGGAATTGTTAGGTTAGTCACATTTAAAGTCTTGGAGTCAAGCCTCTGGAACAGTTGCTGTTCAGATCTTCTCTGTCAGATTAAAGTGAGACTCCTCATTTTTATCTTGTATAACTGCCTGGATTTTAATGACTTACTGTGTAGGAATGTGATTTGAGAGCAGGAGTAGTGTGTCACATCTAAGGTGTAATGCCTTTGTGTCAGTCTTGGGCAGGAGACTTTTGGAATCTTTAAATTCTTCAGGTGTTGGGATGTCAGCTTTTTGTATGAGATTTCTAATTAACTATTGCAGCAGCAACTTTACTAGAAAATGAGGCAAAAGCACTGTGCAAACTGCCCTCTGAAAATAACTGGAGACGTTAACTTTCTAATAGATACTAATCTTTGACTAGTTTGAATCTTAAAGCTAAAATTAATTTATCTCCAGATCTTTGTGGTAAGAGGAATTTAAATGTGATGGTTCAAAGTACATACTAATAGGAGTGGAAGAGTTGGAAAACTTGTTCTAGAATACTTAACTTGGTTGATAAAACTTGCAAAGACTCGTCTGTATTAAACCACTGCTCCTGTAATTGATGATTAGAACATACGTGAATGTAAGCTGAGCTCTTGCGTTTTCATTGATGTCTGTGCTCTTCAGTTTGCAGTTTGACCCAGCACCACGTAGAGGTGAACCGCATGTTACTCGTCGCACCCCAGACTACTTCCTGTAAAGAGATTTTAAACCTGTACAGTATTGCCATGAACCATATGTTGACCTAAAGAAAATGGGAAGAGCAACAGTAACTCCAAAGTGTCAGAAGATATTTAACATTCAAACTTTGTTTTCACATGGACCAAAAGACGTGCCATACTCAATACAAAGCCTCTTGTCATCAACAACTGTGACCACTTTAGAATGAACCAGTTCATTGCATGCTGAAGCAACATTGTTGGTCAAGAAACCAGTTTCTGGCATAGCGCTATTTGTAGTTACTTTTGCTTTCTTGGAGAGACTGCAAATAATAAGATGTAGACATTAACACCTCATGAATACATTTAACTTTCCATTTAGCTATAGCTTTATTCAGCATGACTGTAGATAAGGGTAGCAGCAAACAATCATTGAAGCTTAAAGAACATTTTTAAAATAAGTACCAAGGCCTCATATTTGTTCTGAAACTGTTTGTTTGTTTTATTTTCAGGGAATACTGTTTAATTTAATTGTATTGATTTTTTTTTTTTTTTGTCTGCACTCAGTTCCCTTTTCCACTCTGCCCTACCATATTGTCCCTTGTAATTGTCCAAGGATAGTGAATTACTTTGAACAGAACTGTTTTTTTTTCTGTAAAACAATGTTACTGCAGGACAGAGCTGCAGTGTTTTTCATAATAAACTTGTGAACTAAGTATGGAAAAATGTCAAAATTCTAATTGCATCTCAGGTCAACTGTGGTTTAATAAACTAACATGTAGCTGGATGGGTTTTATGAACTTGCATAGAAGTTTCCACCCTGTAAATAACTAAAACTGAGGTGATTTGGAGTGTGTTGGAAAACTGACCTTTAGAATCCCGTCCCAGGAAGGTGCCTAGGGCTGTGTCTCACAGCTGAGAACAGCTTGCTGGTTTCCCACATGTTGCTCTTTCCCTCTTGGTGCTCTAATGAAATACTCAGAAATGGAAGAATATAGGTTCACTTAATTGATTGCGTGTGGCTTTATTTCAAGTGTAAATCTGAGTAGTTTACAATGTAGGTGCTAATACTTAAAATAATTTTTCTGAAAACCTAATAATAAAACCAGTTTTGTAAATATTAAAGGAAACAACTTTACATTTAGTGCTACGTGTATTTGCCTAGGCTTCCATTCTGAAAAACAGTGGTATGTGGTTTATGTTAACTTCTGTTTAAATATTTCTTTTCTACAAACTTCTTCAAAATTTGAACCCAAATCTGATGATTTGGTTCAAAGCCAAAATTCAAATATTATTCTGCCTTAAGGCCTGTGCATGAAACTTCTTGGGTACATTTAAGTGATGTATCTGGCTGTTGACTTAATAGAAGGACTCTTAGTATTCATATTGTTTGAGACTTGGGCACAATATGGATTCTTTAATAAGGTGAAGTCTTGTTTTTTACACTTTGTTTCTAAGGGAACATACAGAAGTTTTACCAATGTCCAATGCACCTGGAGCTTTAGTCCTAGACATGCATTTTGGTGCTTTCTTGCTTTTCTGAAAAGCAGCTTAATTCTGTAACTTGCAAAGAAGATGCTGCATTTCATCAAGCATTACTTCATCCCCTTTCAGAAGGGCTCAAGTGGTTGCTTTTCCTTCAGCAAAATTTGAGCCATGTCCTGTAGGTTGGGTTCCAAATGGCTTCTGGAGAGCTTAGTCTGCTGTAGTTTCATCTCTTACAGGAAGAAGTGCATGCTAAAAGTAAGTGCATCTGAAGTGGCTTTTTTTTTTAGTATATTGGGAGCTTTTGCTTTGATCACTATTAAAAAAATCCTTTGCTGAGAGCAGTTCACGTTCCATTCCTGTCACTTGTCTTTCTCTTGTGTTTGTGTAGATGGGACTTTGTGCTTTCATTGACACCATTTCTTCAAGAGGAATGACTTTGCCCTATTTTCTGCTTTCCTTGTTGCTCTAATTGGCGTGATTCATCTGCTCTAGTGGGGAGCAATCCTGTCCTTGCTTCAGTTTCTGTACACAAATCCAAGTGGCTGTTACTAAAGTCCATGGACAGTGTTGGAGTCACTCAGTTTTTGTGCTTTCCTCTATAATTCTGTTGTGATGGTCTGTGTGAAGATTCCAGTGAGAGAACCACATTATGAAGAAAAAATTAGTTGCTGTGACGGAGCACTAACTGTCTGAACCCATGTTTGGAAGATTCAGGAGAAGAAGCAAAAATATAGATCAGTGGGGTTTGATTTATTGGTAGCTGATTAGTTCACCTGCACAAAATTTCCTTTACTTCAGCCTGTGAGTACAGTGGCTGCAGAGAAATGAGTGGGTTTTGGAGATCACTGGTAATTCCTCCATCTCTACAACACCTTCTGCATTCCATGAAATACAAAATAGAGGCATAGCTGGAAATTCCGTATTGTTTAAACAGCAATGTCACACCCAGTTCTTAGTGGGGAGGGCTGACTTGAGTTTAGGTTATCAGGAGGCAGTTAGGAATGAAATTGCACTTTTCTATGAACTGTTCTTTCTCTTTTTTTCATTTGTTCTCAGAACTTGAATAGAGCCAGGAGAATAATGATGGACAAAGGGGAGGGTTTTGAGCTTTCCATATTTAATTTTGTGTGAATTGTTGGCCATAATCATACAAAGTGAGCACCCTAAACTGGGGCACTGAAGGCCTATTAACTCAAAATCAGGAGACAAAACATGTATTACATAGAGAGGTATATGGATTTGCCAGATTTTTTCCCCTTTCACCCTCTTTCTACACCTTTCTTTACCTGTTTCCACCCTCTGCTTTGCTCCTCTGCTTATGGCCCCCTCTTCACAGATCACTGGAGCCTGGGGCTGGCTGCTGCCCCAGTCCCTGCTTCTTTGTTGCTGACCAAGCTGCCACTGTAGATGGGTGTTCGTCCAAGGTAACCAGTGTGTGACTGTCACCTGGTGCTCGTTTTGGATTGTTTCTAGCTGCTGACACTTCCCTACAAACTCAGTATCCCTGCTCCAAGTGCTTGGGTAGTGTTTAGGTCTTCTGATAATACCCTGGCAAGATAACTAGATGCATGGGAGAGTGCAGATAGCGTTAACTCCTTCCCCATGTGTCTGGATGGTAACAATAGCTATCCTGTGAAAAAAGGTGATGAAAGGACATCCTGCCAGTGGAAATTGTGACATTTCACCTGCCTCTGTCTTGATCCAGTTCCTGTTAAAAGCTCCTCTAGTAACAGAAAAAATTGCTGAGAGGTGCCAGTATCTACCAATCCATGTTCCATGGAATTTATTTTGCTTTTATAGTAGTAAACTGAAGCACTGAGTCCTTTTTAGGAAGTAATTGTGTTTCAAGAGCCTTGGGACGAAGTCTGTGCTCTGACAATTAAAAAATTTATCCCATCTTTTAAAGGATTTCCTCCTGTACCAAACCTGCTATGGTAGTGCTGGTTTTATTTCGGGCTTTTTTTCATAGTTCAAAAACCACATTCTTTTTCCCCTCTCACCTGTTTGTTTCCTTAGTAATACTGGAGTGCAGTTCCTGCTCTTGCAGGAGGTGTGACCTTGGGAGGGGGCTGAAGAATAAGTGCTGTTTTTCATTCAGGAAAAATAGTTGTAAGAAGATGCAAGTGTGATCACAATTTTGAATTTCAAATTAAATGATGCTCCAAATTCAGTGAGTTGAAGGTGTGGCTCCACTCTCATTACCTCCTTATGCACCTGTTCCACACTCATTTATTGCTCTAACTCCTGCTTGTTGTGTCTGGATGCAGAGCATTCCTGGAAATTCTTAATGTGTTTTAAGGATTGCCGTGTAGGTTAGAGCATATTTTGCCTCAGAAATGGCTTTTTACATGTTCCATGTTTTTTACAACCATACTCGTGGCTTGTGTGAGCTTGGGTTTTTGTAGCAAAATGTCTACAAGCAGTGATTTTTGAAGCTTTGTAGAAGGCATTGGATGCCTTCTGTGTGCTACAGCAATCATAACACACAGTATTGGTGTTCTGCACGTTCTTCTGGGAGAAAGTTGGAAACAGGTAAAGTGTTAAGTAAGAATCATACTGGACTGTGTAGAAATCTTTCAGTACCTATGAACACACCAACAAAACCCTGCAGAGTCAGCAGTTCATGAAATTAGCCTCCTGTACTACAGAAAGTTATTTTGGTGCTCTAATTCATTTATCTGTACTCTTTGGATGGAAAGAGAGGCAGGCTGCTTTCTTGAGCAAGCTTTGGCATATGGACAGAGAAAAAAAGGCTGAAACAATGCTTTTGGTTTAAAATTAAGCAGTGCTGCATGTTTTAGCCTTTTAAAACCTATGCTGGAGCTTAAAAGCTTTATTCTTTAAAATGGGTTGAACTACTGCTCTCTTAATTACTCTCTGGTAAACAGAACTTCGGGATGGAAACTAAAATAATTGCTGCTGGTATAAGTAATGTATAAAACATTAGTCGCTAATAGTACCTTGGACTGATGATGGAAGAGTAGTGGGATCAGGGTGAGCATCCTCCATGAGAACTTGCAGGAAAGTGATTTTGAGAACACTCTCCATTTTGCTGCTACTGCTATCATTAAACTAAATCTTTGCTTTTGGTTGTCTTGACTTCTGTCTATATCTTCCTCAGTAGATTTTCCCCAAACACATCTTGGTTTTTGGAGGTTAGGTTCTTTTGGTTTGTTTTTGTGCTTTAGTTTGTTTCTTAATTTCAATAAATCTATTAACTGCTTTCCAGATTATGCATCTAAAACCGAAAGTGCTGAACTGTAAAACAGGAGTGTCCTGTTTACATTGATAATTGCATGAGCGATTGGGCTGAAAGGCTTTAGTCTGGCTCCCAACTGCCTTTATTTTTCAGGAGTTTGAGAAAACACTCCCCTCCCCCCGCCACCTCCAGCCTAACCCTAAACCCTGCTGTGAAAAGCCTTCTTTATCGTGGTCATCGGTGCAGGAGTCGGCAGTGATGGCTGCTCTATTCTGCTTCTTTATTTTATAAGGAAAATGGGGGGGGGGGGAGGCGCGAGAAGCCCTGCCTGGGCGTATCCTATGGTGGGTGTTTCGTTCCATGCTTGACCCACTTTTCAGGCAGCGCCGCTCCTTTTCCACTGCTGTGTTTATCCTCGGGGGAGAGGAACACAGCCGGCTGCTGCTGGAGCAGGGACAATGCTCAGGGGAGAGAGTGCCACAGCTTGCTGGGAGAGAGAAAGGCTAGTGATGGGTTCTGTTTATCTGGTCATGAGTTTATCCAGCTTTAGCTCAGCCATTCCCTCCCGGAATCTCTTTTTAAAATGCTTTGAATGCATTTTAAAATGGTGACTTCTAAAACACAAATTTAATCCCATGGACTTTGACACTTCAAAGCAACTGCTCATTATTATCTGTGGCGTCAGAACCAGCCCAGAATCTGCTTTTTGGACTTTGAACGGCTCCAGCGTTGGAGACCAGGGCCAGGCACCCTTGTAAAGCTAACCCAGTTCCCTTCCCCTCGTGCTTATATCAAGGATATTTACAGTTTTATATGGTACCACTCGCAATACCATCTACAGAAAGTCTGCACTTTCCATTTTCTTGGGAAGCCCGGGAACGCATCTGTCCAGGGCTGAGCTCTCCCACGGATCCCGTCCGTCGGAGCGATCCCCGGCGCCACCACGTGACACTGCCCTGCCTGTCGGAACCGACGCGTCGTGACCCGACAGGGCTGGGAACTGCTCTGCTATCGGCAAGGCTGACATGCACTGGCTCTAATGTGGCTGGAGGTGGGTGACCCTCACTCTTAGCAGGTAGAGGGTCAGGGCTTGGCTCCTC